GTGTGCGTGCGCGGTGCGCCCCGTGCCAAGCTAACTGCGTGCCTGTCTGTCTCTCTCCGTCTCCGTGTCTCTGCCGGGGAACCGCGCTCCTAAAATAACCCCGCTACAATGCGCCAGCCTGACTCAGCCGCAGACAGCAGCAGCAGTAGCAGCAGCAGCAGCGCGAGGACGAAGATGGCGCACCCGGCGATGTTCCCTCGAAGGGGCAGCAGCAGCAGTAGCACCACTGGTGGTGGCAGCGGCCCCCCTCCCAGCGCCGGTGCTGGCGGTGCTGCCCTCTCCGCGGAGGAGTATCAGCCACCTCTGCTGGGCCAGCCGCTGCTGCCTGTGTCTCCCGCAGCAGTGTCTGCCTCGCCGGGTCCCCAGCCGGCACCTCCTCCTCCACAGAGCCTGAACCTCCTCCCGCAGGCACCGCTCCCGCAGCAGCCTCTGGGCCAGGCCGGAGCACAAATGAAGAAGAAAAGCGGCTTCCAGATCACTAGCGTGACCCCGGCCCAGATCTCGGCCAGCATCAGCTCCAACAACAGCATAGCCGAGGACACAGAAAGCTACGATGATCTGGATGAGTCCCACACGGAAGACCTGTCGTCTTCCGAAATCCTGGATGTTTCGCTCTCCAGGGCCACTGACTTGGGGGAACCCGAACGGAGCTCCTCTGAAGAGACTTTAAACAACTTCCAAGAGGCTGAGACTCCAGGGGCTGTCTCTCCAAACCAGCCTCACCTTTCTCAGCAGCACCCTCCTTTGCCTCACCCCGCCCAGCAGAGCGTTGTGATCAATGGGAGTGTTCACCCGCATCACGTTCACCACCACCATCCCCTCCATCACCATGGCCATCACCATCCATCTGCTCCTGGAGTGGGCAGCACACCAGCCTCTGGAGGACCACCTCCCAGTCCATCCTTTAGAAAACTGTCCACAACTGGAAGCTCTGACAATGTTATAACAACTGCACCAGTTTCTGCTGCATCATCCACTGGTAGCCCGGCATCTGTCATGTCCAATATCCGCACTACAAGTACTCCTGGCAATATAGGTGTGAGTCCTGTTACTGGAACTAGTACGTTAAGTAATATGGGTGGTGGTAGCTCTGGTGTGACGAGCGGCATGGTTGGTACTGTAAATTTAAACAACATTACAAGTACTGGTAACGTAAATGCTTTGTCTGGAACTGGCAGCAGTGTTAATGTGAATATCTTGAGTGGTATTGGCAATGGTACGAGTGCTTCCTCTAATGTCATTAACAATGTTACTAATCCAACAGCAGGATTGGGATCAAGTCAGCAGCAGCCTGCAGCTGGCACGTCAAGGTTTAGAGTTGTAAAATTAGATTCCAGCTCTGAACCTTTTAAAAAGGGGAGATGGACATGCACTGAATTCTATGATAAAGACAACACTGTTGCAGTTACAGAAGGAGTAGCAGTAAACAAGGCGGTAGAGACTATAAAACAAAACCCACTTGAAGTGACTTCTGAAAGGGAGAGCACCAGTGGGAGTTCTGTTAGCAGCAGTGTAAGCACACTGAGTCACTACACAGAAAGTGTGGGAAGTGGAGAAATGGGAGCACCTACTGTGGTACAACAGCAAGCATTTCAAGGTGTGGGTCCACAGCAGATGGATTTTAGCAGTGCTGGTCCTCAGCCTATTCCAGCATCCAGTATACCACAGAGTGTTTCTCAGTCACAGCTTACTCAAGTCCAGCTGCATGCCCAAGAAGTAAACTATTCGCAGCAAAAGCAAGGGGTCCAGCCTCCTGCGTCGGCCAGCCTAACCACCGTTACTGGAGTTCAATCAACCCCAGTTAATATAGTAGGTGTATCTTCAGCTTTAGGCCACCAACAACCTGCCATGCAGAGTATGGCTCAACAACAACTACCATATTCTCAGCCAGCACAACCTGTGCAAACTTTGCCGGTTGTACAACAGCAGCAATTACAGTATGGACAACAACAGCAGCAACAACAAGCAGTTCCTACACAGATGGCCCCGGGGCTTGTTAAACAAGTGAGTCAAAACTCTGTTACAGGGACGATGCCAGACTACATGCAACACCAACAGATACTTCAGACTTCAGCACCTGCCATGCAGTCTGGTACTACAGCAGTAGGAACAGGCACGCCAGTTCCTGTTGCTCAGGCACCAAGCATGCAGCCTTCAGTACAAGCACACCCTGCCGTGACACCAGCCCAGCCTGTTGCACATGCTCAAACAGCAATGCCAGCGGTAGGTACTAGTGGTCAGATTATGAATGTTGGACAACAAGGAAGTGTACCTACAGTTGTGCAGCAGGCACCTGGTGCAAACCAAATTCCTCCTCCAGTTATGCAACCAAGCACTGCTCCTCCAGCTTCACAAGTGGTGCAGTCTGTTCAGACTGGGATAATGCAGCAAGGACTACAGTCTGGTGGCCCAAGCCTTCCTCAGCAAATGATCATTGCTCAGCAAAGTACTTTGTTACCTGTACAACCGCAGGCACAGGCCGTAGAATCTGTAGCGCAAGGAATGACCAGCCAGCAGTTGCCTGCAGTTAGTCCTATACCTTCTGCTAGTACTGTTCCTGCTCCAAGCCAACCTAGTTCAAATATCCCTCCTGGTATACCGTCTGCTTCTATAAGTATGGGTCCACCACACAATATAGCACAAGCTTCAACTGTACAAAATGGGAATTTGGTTCAAAGTGTTGCTCAGCCTTCCGTGATATCAACAAGTATAGGTATGCCAGTAGCACCAAGTCTGCCACAACAGGTACCACTAAGCTCCACCCAGTTCCCTGCACAATCACTAACTCAGTCAATTGTAAGCCAAATTGAAGATGGCAGGCGCCCTACAGAACCTTCCTTAGTTGGTTTACCTCAAGCTGCTAGTGGTGAAAGTGGTGTTGGAGCATCAGCTCTTTCAGATGGGAGTGGCAGCAGCATAACGTCCTCTGCTTCCCTTTTTCCTCTGAAGGTACTGCCGCTGACAACACACCTTGTTGATGGTGAGGATGAGAGGTAAGAACATGTCAACTTTACAAATGGGCTATATATCCCTTTTGTATATGTTAACTAGCAGCTGCCATGCAACTGTGTCACAAAATGAAGTACAATATTGTATGCACAGCTTTAATACTTTTATTTTATGGGAGGAGGATTGTTTCTCATGTGGCAGCACATAGCTGCTCTCTTTAAAATTCTCACTGCTGCCCTTGAGAGGAATGGATTTTATTGATTGCGCTCTGAAACTTATGTTGCATGAGTATGTTGTATTTGTGTAGTAATAAGTAAGGGGGTGTGTATGTTACATGTAGCCACATGGACAGGGACTGACAAAAATACTCTTGAGTCTTACTTGCATCAGCTATACTTTGATTCCACTTAAATACAGTGAAATTAGGTATGCCTTACAAGCCTTGCACTCTCTTCTGTCCAGGTTCTTTTTTTCAGGTTTTGTCTTATTCAGGGTTGAACCACCTGTGACCATGCTCTGTGAAATGTTTTGACCTCCAGCAGCCATCAGCGACTTCAGGCGATTGGGTTGTAGCGGGGAAGAGGGGATAATTTTGAAATGGATTAATTTAGAGGTTGGTCCAAACCTCTGTGCTTCCTTCCTGTGTTCTCCATTGTTTATTGTCCCTTTCCTCTTCCCTTCCCTGACACTTGCTGCTTGTTGAATCCAGTGTCACAGTTGCTCTGTTCCTTTGCAGCCGATGTGCCTGTACTGCGCAGAGTGCCTGAGTAACAACTATTATATTATTAAAAACCAACCAAATTAACAAATAGCTTTGCACCCTTGCTGTTTCAAACAGATTGGGGTGGGGATGTGTGTATGCACATGTGCATGTGCTGGGTTCTTGAAGACTGTGTAGGGGAGCCATGTCAATTTCCAAGGCTCCTGTCTGCACAGAATGTAGCAGCCTTGGCAAGAGCCACTTAAAACTGCTATTGTTTAATATTAATTGTGTCTGGAAATCCTTGATGGGATTAGGGCCCTATTGTTGATATGCATTTGGATACTGCCCATGAAGACTTGATCACTCTCGCAAAGAATTCATAGTCTGAGGTGAAGAAAGGCTGCTAGTGTTAGAGATGGCTAACATAAAACGGAATTAAATGGCACTGAATATGCTAGGGGGCAACTCCCCCCGTCCCCCATTAAAAATGGAAAGATTCATTCAGACTAGAAGTGGAAGAAATACAGTAGTTAACTCTCTTTTGTCTCCAGTTCCTCTTTCAGTGCAGCCTTAATGAGACAGGAGGGATGCGTGGTTGCTTGGTTTGTTTGTTTTTCCTTAACTCAGGATTATTGGGTTCATTTAGCCCATTTAATTCTGAGGAATAGGAAAGGACAAATTTATCTTCTTGATGACTTGATTTCTTTAGGATGCTGACAGGTGTTGTTTTGTTTTGTCCCATTTTCTTTATGCTCTTGGGATTTGTTCTTTTTTGCTGTTAAGCGCATATATATTAGTCTCTTGTTTGAGGAAGCAATATTGTGCTTAGTATATACTTAAGTAAGTATCCAGGAAGTATGTTCATTAAGTAAAATGGTGGCATCCGGATTCTGGGATGTCAGTGTTTTATGTCTCAAGATTAATATACATACATCACAAGTAGTTCTAAATCTGACAGAGGAGAATACAGAAGAATAATGTAATTGAATGATGCTGAGTGATGACATAATTGGACTGAAGAAGAAGCTGTAAAATTCCATTGAGTATACACTTTTTTGGAGGGTGGAAAAATTAACCTGGGTAATATTTGATTTAAATTGAAGCCCAGATTTTATTGAAAGCATTTTATAATTGTGTAAAGCTGTATCCATATCTTCTATCCTGAAGTCGTTAACCCTGCAATTTCTTCTTAGTAATACCTACAGCACTTCCGGGCCCAATTATTAGAAGAGGGGCATACCATCTACATCCTTTAAGGAGCGGAATTTTCTCGTTCAAAGCAGTACCTAGTATTTGCCAAGTGTAACTCAGATCGCCTTTTCTCTGCCATGTTTTGAAATAAAGTGGAGAAAGATCTTAAAGATGAGTTGCCTGATAGGATATCCTATCCTGTGGAAAATTAATCTACAGACTTCTTTTATTAAGGAGAATATAAAAGCAATACTGGTACAGCTCTCGTTAATAAGCTGTTTGCTCTGACTGCTGTTCTTAGTCTGTCAGATACGCCTCAGCTATTGACATGTCAAGTGCTAGACTTGTCATCTGTCCTAATAGCTCAGTCTTGTAAAATATAGGCTGATTTCCTCCTTGATGGTAGGTATCTTTTTTTTTTTTCTTTTCCTTGAGTCATGGTATATACTGAGTCTGTTAAAATGCATCTTCTTGGTAATTTGTTAGATAAGGGGCTCAGTTTACTTTTAACTTGGTTATTAAAGCATGTCAATTTTGGATGTGATTATTTCATCATATATATATATGATGTAGTAATGGAAAAATATTTACCAAATCTCTTGCTTTTATTCCATTTTTAATACCCTCAGAACCTTTTAAATAAGTTTTGTTGTTGGCCAATCTTTCTTATTAGAGATATCTATATCTATCTATATCCATATCTCTAATAAGAAAGCTTGGCCAATAACAAAACTTATTTAAAAGGTTCTGAGGGTATTAAAAATGGAATAAAAGCAAGAGATTTAGTAAATATTTTTCCATTACTACATCATATACATGTTATGGAATGTGTCAAAGTAACACCTCCTTTGACAGTGTTTGCTTATCATGCCAATGAAGCAGTTACAGTAGGAATCAGTGTGTGGCATGACTGGCACAGTTTTTAGCTTTTAGTTTACAGATAAATACAAAATCCAAGTCTTTTAACAGTATTATACTAATTGCTCTAAGTCTGCAGTTAATTTAACAGCAGTTCAGTTTTTTGTTTCAAATGTTTCAATCCTAGTTATAAGCATTTATGAATGAAAATGTAGAGAAGTACTGCAACAACCTTTTCTTTATTTGTTTACTTCCTGCACTTGAGGGCACTTCACATTATAGTCACTTTCATTATTTCCTCTGTAGCCCATTTCACCAGTTTGCCTGGAGCTTTTATTTTCCCTTCCCTTCCCCCACTCCACTCCCCTCCCACTCATTTAGCTGACGAGTAAGAAAATGTGGTTGGATCTCAGTTTGGTGGGCTTTGATTTAAAGGCATATGTAATACTTGAAAGTGTTTTGTATCCATTTTTTAAAATGTGAGATTGGTATCAAAACTATACAGATAGCGATAATCTTTATGGAAGGAATTTTGACTATAAATTGTGGATGCATTAAACCTACCCAGCCGAATTATTTTGGACAAGGACTTTTAAAGTATCTTTGAGGGAAAACTATCTTAAACAAAAGGGTGCAATCAAAAATAAGGAGAAGTTTTACAGGAAAATGTGTACATATGCGAGCTATTCAGACCAACAATAAACATGAGATTTTTACACGTTGCCAACTCACTCTCAGACTGCAGATTGCAAGTAAAATGCATTGTGGCAAGCAAGCCAGGTGGTGGAATTGTGAAGACCGTGTATATGGAGGATAAACCCGCTTTTCCTGAGACCTGTTCCGAACTGTTCTTTGAAGTTTAGTTATGCAGCTTCTTAGTCCTCTCTTAACTAGGATTTTATTGTTGTGTGTTAAGTTTGGGTAGTGTGTGTGTCCTTAATAGTTTAGCACCTTAATTATTTGCACTCACCTAACAGGGTTGCTTTTAGTTAAAACATAAATCTTTAAGCACTCTTACGCTACAAGTTTCAGTAAGTAACTCTAAAAACTTACCACTGATTTCAAAATTTGTATCCCAGAAGAGTATGTTTGAGTCTTAAATCTTCAAAGATTTGGCTATTTGCATAATTTAGAAATACAAACTATGTTTACTTGCTCACTTTGGTGAATCAAGGAATTCAATAGTCTTCCATGGTAAAAAGAACATTTTTGCTACTATGTTATGTTGTCTAGTTCAGTTTCACTTGCCTTGGTGAAACAGAATGCCAAGCTCAGGCAGGAGGAACTTTGTTACTTCTCTGCTATATGGGAAGCAATGAGCAAGGCAAAAGTCTTCACTTATTCCTGCCTCCTAGCTGCTGGGGAAGAGTTCTCTTCCCATCATTTTGTAGGTGTCTTTGTTGTCTCTCAGACTTTGATGCATTGGGTTATGTTCATTTTAACACACAAGGAAAGTTGCAAGGGTATGTTGCAACACAATGTACACTGAGGGTACTCAGTGCATGGGGAGGTGTTGGAGGGGGTGTAAAGGAGCAAACAGACCTCATCCTTTGTGTAGAAGTAGCTTTCTTTGGCACCTTTGATAGGTGTGCTGTATCTCATGCCATGATACATGATGTGGTGAAGAGTGCCACAGTGGCTAGCACTTCATGGCTTTACCTAAATGGATGTAGATCTAGTGAACTGTTGATGGTGGTATGAGAACCATACTGTTTGTTGGAGATGCTGAGAAATACTTTTCCAGGCAATAGTTTGATTTACCTTCTTCCCTCCCCCCCCACCCCCAAGGAATTACCCTTAACCTTCAGAGGTCTGGTTCTTGGTGCTGTTCCATAATATTCTTGGAAATTGATTCATAATCAGGTCAAACTATTTCTGCATGCGAGTCTAAGAGAGACTTTTTCTGAGCTATTTAAGACTGAAAAGCAGTCATGCGACTTTCTCAGAGGTTCGGGGTTTTTAATTTTAATTTGGTAATAATTTTATAGACTTTTAAATATTTGCAAATAGAGGACTTCAGAATTCCAGAACTGGTTTGATATACTGGTAGTCTGAAACTCGGTCCTGGTCATAATGCTGGTTGATTAAGTCCCAGTGGAATGATGAGTCTCTCCTTCCTTGGCGAGATTGTCAGGTTACCAGAAAAAATTAAAACAGCAGGTTATTTACACTTTTAATAATGAATCCTATAATGGTTGGGCGGTGGATGGTTGGGGCACCTGTGCTGGAAATAATAAATAGTAATAAAGCATTTAACCGTGGAGAGAAAATAACACAATGTAAGAAGGCTAG